CACCATCCTGCTCTGCACCCCAGCAGATGCTCAGGTGAGTCCCTAGGGCCACAGGGAGGGGGTCCTGGCTGGGGAGGGTTCTGGGCTGCAGGAGATGGGATCTCCTGCAGAATTAAATCCTCGTGGGGAGCACAAAACCCCTGCATTTGGCCTCTCCCTTGCCCAAGCAAGGGGCTTCTGCAGGCTCCCCTGCCCTTCCAGCCCCTATCAGTGCAGCTTTCTCCCTTCCACAATTCCAGCTGTTCCCTCCACTTCCTGCAATTCAGCTGCCGGTGCCCAGAGCTGGCTCCACAGGGAGCGCTCAGACCTGCTTCCTCCATGGGAACCCAACCTTCTGTGAGGCTCCTACTGGTTTCTTCTCTTGCTGCCACCACACCCTTCTCCCTTTTGAGCTTCCCTATTCTACCCTTTTGGTCCCCTCAGACATCTCCTCCCCAGGATCTCCCCTGTGTCCTGTCTTGAGTTCCCCACATGCCCTCCCTCTGGTCACTCCCAAGGCCTTTCTTTCCTCTTTCCTTCAGTCCTTTCCCTCTCATCCTGCCCACAGCAATAGTGTCTCCAAATCCACTTCCCTTGAACCCCCCCACTCCCAAGCACCATCCCAAGCCTTTTGCTTAGGTCCTCTGGGTTCCTCTTCCTTCTGCCCCCACCAACAATCCCACTTGAAGTCCCTGGATCCCCTCCACTGGAATTCCCTGAGCCTTCACTGGCTTCTCAGTCCCTCCAGTTCTGTCCCTCCAACACCCCCAGCCCAGTCCCTTCACCACTGCTAATTCACCCCATGCCCTGGCTCTAGGTCCACCCACACCTGTGCCCCACCCACAGCCCCACCAAGCTCCAATCCAGAACCCAACCCTTTGGTTTTCTTTTCCAGCCAATAATTGAAGCCAGTGGAGGATACTGCATTGGAGTAAGTAGTGGGGTGGGCTTGGAGGGCTTCCATTACGGGGAATGAGAGGGCAAGTTGGTCCTGCCACCCCTTGCTGGGACTGGGGACATCCCAGTGACACTCAGGTCTCATGGTCTCTCTGCAGGGGGAAATTGAAATCGGGCGAGTAAAGAGGGCTGAGGTAGGTACCCCAGGTTCTGATGGCCCCAGACCCTCCCCTCCATGGCTGCGACACTCAAGGCCATCCCAGTGTACCCCAGTACATCCCAGTGCACCCCACTGCTACCCCAGAGAACTCCCCTGTACCCCAGCTTTTTCCCCAGGAAGGCCCTTACCCAGGCACCCCAGGGTTGCGTTCCCATGTAACCCTGTACACCCCAGGATGCCCCAGTACACAATCATGCACCCAGGTGGGCCCCTTCCCATGGAGCCCCACGGCTCTCACCGCACAAGCTCATGGACCCCATTTCTCTCCAGAAGAACTTTCCCCAAGGACCCCACGGGTTTTCCCGGGCCTCCCAACACAGCCCAGTGCAGCCCAGCGTGTCCCTAACCCTCCCTTTCTCCCCAGCCCCCTCTGGTGGATCTTGTGCGCCGCAGACGCAGGGCTGCAGCTGCTGATGCCTAGGGGAGCAGCATCAGGAGCCCCAGAAAGGCTCCTGCATCCTGGGGCCACCCGGAACTGGTAGTGCCACCCTTGTCCTGTCCCCCTCCAGCGGCACGAGGAGATCATCATCCCTGGATGAGGCCAGCCCATTCCTGGGAGCCCTGTGCCCTTTCCCTCTCCTGATCAATAAAGCCCTTCAGCAAAGCTGTGCTCTGTGGGGGGTGTGTGTCTGTGTCCATGTCCCCTCCCCTCTGCCAGCCCCAGGACCCTGCCTCCTCTCTGGCTGCACCCCTGGGATGAGCAGAGTGGTGGAGGAAGCCTGGGCACTCGGGGGGGTTTCCATAAAGGAGATGCCCTTCCCAGCCAGCCTGTGCCCCCAGAGAAGGTAGATGAGGGCAGCCTGGAGTGTCTCCCCCACTGGGCTGGGAGAGGCAAAGGGCAGATGGTGGCAGCCCTTGGGGCTGCCTGGGATTAGGGGCACAGTGGGACACAGGTTCTTAGCAAGGCTCTGGTGAGCACCATCCCCCACACAGCAGATGGGGGCTTGGGGATTCACAGAGTCAAGCAGGTGGGACAGGGGGCTGGAAACACGGAGACTGACACAGGTCTGGCATGAGAAAAGCTCAGCCCCTCGCTCTCTGGAGACGAGTCTTGCGGAGGGTGAAGAACAACAATGTCTTTAGGGATGGTGGTGTGTACAGACACAGTCAGTGGACGATTATCATGGAATGGTGCAGGTTGGAAGGGGCCTTAAAGATCATCTAGTTCCAGCCCTCCTGCCATGGACACCTCCTATTAGACCAGGTTTGCTCCAAGCCCCATCCAACCTGGCACTGAACACTTCCAGGGACAGGGATTCCACTGTTTCCTTGAACAGTCTGTTCCAGTGTCTCACCACCCTCATGGTGAAGAATTTCCTCCTAATGTCTAATCTAACCCTCCTCTCTTCCAGTTTTAATCTTTACCCCTTGTCCTATCACTTCAAACTCCGGCCAAAAGTCTCTCCCTGGCTTTCCTGTGGTTCCCCTTCATGCCAAGGACAGACAAGCTGTCCAGAACCATAGGGGCCCTGCCTCTAGCCAGGTGGAGGAAAGGGACAACTGAATCTACTGGACTGTGTGGGTTGGATGGCCTGGCATGCTGATCCCACAGAAATACAAGGCTCTGGTGGACAGCAGTTCACAATGCACCATAAAGCCGTCCTCAGCTCCTGTCTCTCCGGCAGCTCTGGGACATTTTGGGGCTGCTCAGGAGATGCTGGGGAAGTTGCTGGGGGTGGGGGGAGACAATAGAGTTTGCACATTCCTAAACATACTTGCATATGTTTGCACATATTTTTTGTAATCATTAATATTTAATTAAAGCTGTCTAGTTTTGTTTGCAATCGAGAAAGTCTCTCTCTCACTCTCTCTCTCTCCTTCCCTACCTGGATGGGAGGGGGAGGGGATCGAGAGCATTGTTGTCCCGGGTTCAATTGCTGATCCTGACTCAAACCCGTGAAAGCCAGCTGCCCCCCGGCACCCCCATTCTTGGTGTGGGTCATTGCAGCAGGGAACCGAGGGGGTACTGGTGAGCACTGGCTGTAGCAGTGCTGGAGGGAATTATACAGTTGTCTACCCTGCTTGGCTTTTCAGAGCACCCTTCTGTTGTGGGGCTGCTGAAGGTCTAAGAACAAAAGGTCCCCATGGCCACTGCAGCTGGGCACCCAGGACAATACTGCACTAGAAGAGATTCCCTGGATCCCACCCAGGAGCTCCATCCCCAGGTTCCCTTACAGAACAGATATGGGGCTCTGGAGATAGAGAACCAGGAAAGTAAGGATGTGGATAAAGTCCCACGCAGGGAGTTGCCAAAGCAGGCAGCTCCACGCATTAAGACTGCTTCTGTTCAGAGCAAGAGGAGGGTGACTGTTATAGGAGATTCCCTTCTGAGGGGAACTGAAGGTCCCATGTGCTGACCAGATCTTTCTCACAGGGAGATCTGCTGCCTCCCTGGGGCCCAGGTTAGGGATATAAGCGGGAGACTTCCTGGTCTAAGTATGGCCCTCAGACTTCTGCCCTCTTTTGATTTTTCAGGTGGGCAGTGGTGAGGTAGAGAGAAGTGCTGTTCCTCTGTAAGAGGTGAGCTCCACATGTGCCCTTGGTTTAATTAAAAAAACTCTCCAAACTGGGGGGGGGGAGGAAGTTGGACAGATGACGAATTTGGGGGATTTGTAAGTTACAAGGATTACTCAGATTCCAGTAGCCAGGGCAGCGAGATCCTGGATGACCTTAATATACTAAAAAAGTACAAGCCTGTAAGCTCTAAGCAGGTTCCCTCCCCCAAGCAGTCAGCAAAGAAACGTGTGAGTTTCCATCCCAAAACGGGAAAGCTCCACCCTTCCATTTTAAAATCAAAGTCATGATAGCAGTGAGCCCCTGTGCAGGCGTTCTCTCCCCCTGCCCCCGCCTCCAGCCAAGGGGAAGCTGCAGAGAGAGATAAGGGCACTGCATGATTTAGTTAAAACCTTTATAACGTCAGGTACTAAAAAAATTAACAAACTGGGAGAAAAACTCCACCAAATTTCCACAGTTGTGGAAAGCACCTCAACTCACTCATCTTCTTACAGTAATAGAGAATGATCAGGAGGGGAGAGTAGAGCATAAACAGTTATGCCCCGTAATGCGGGTGCATTATGACCCTGGTACCGGGCAGGGACACGTAGTGCATAACGTGTCTCCATATTCCCTCTTAGAATTGGCACAATTAAAACAACAATACGGCCATCAGCAGAATCTGACACTGTATATGCATGTCCTACTGCCCTTTGCCACTAAAGAAGGAACAATGTTGACTGGTGTTGACATCACAATACAACTCAGCGTGGCAGGATTCCGCACCACTGCACAGGTTACCCCAGGCCTCTGAGCATTTCCTACTCAATGTAGGAAAAATTGCTGAAAAGCAAAAGTCCTTTTGAGGGAGCAGGACAGCAGGATCCTGTGGAAGTGAGGGCAGACCAGCACTAGAAACGCCACGTCCTGCTGCAGCCTCGGCCATGGCTGCAGGGAAGCAGCAGCCCCAGCTCACAGGCAGCTGAGAGACAGTGCCCAGCAAGGCGGTGAGGGGCAGCCACCAGGGCTGATTCTCCATGAGGCAGCTGGTCATTTGCTTCCTGAGCCCCTCCTGCATGCTGGGGCAGCTCCCCCAACTCCAGAGGAGATGTGAAGAAATGGAAGCTGAGACCAATAAATTTCCAATGGTTCCTTAATTGAGTTTATTTATAAAAGGAGACAAGATCCATATGTACATGAGGCCTTTGGGTCAAAATAAAACCAAAACTGAAAAAAAAGGTAGGAAGCCAAGAATAATAGTCATAGGTATAAAACAAACCCCAAGATTTATTTTTAAAAATCCACAAGGGAAAATAAAGACACACATGATGAGAATTTAGAGCTGGGTATTTCAGAGATACTGTGGAAGCCCTAATGGGATAATGGGCATCTTATTAATTTAAAGTAGATTCTATTCAAATAGTTTCCTCAGGGCATCCTTGAGGTCCTGGTTCCTCATGCTATAGATGAGGGGGTTCACTACTGGAGGCACCACTGAGTACAGAAGTGCCATCACCAGTTCAAGGGAGGGGGAGGAGATGGAGGGGGGCTTCAGGTAGGCAAACATGCTAGTGCTGACAAACAGGGAGACCACAGTCAAGTGAGGGAGGCAGGTGGAAAAGGCTTTGTGCCTTCCCTGCTGAGAGGGGATCCTCAGCACGGCCCTGAAGATCTGCACATAGGATACCACCATGAAAACAAAACAGCAAAAAAAAAAGAAGGCACTAAGCACAACAAGCCCAAGTTCCCTGAGGTAGGAGTGTGAGCAGGAGAGCTTGAGGACCTGGGGGATTTCACAGAAGAACTGTCCCAGGGCATTGCCCTGGCAGAGGGGCAGCGAAAATGTACTGGCTGTGTGCAGCAGAGAATGGAGAAACCCAGAGGCCCAGGCAGCTGCTGCCATGTGGACACAAGCTCTGCTGCCCAGGAGGGTCCCATAGTGCAGGGGTCTGCAGATGGCAACATAGCGGTCATAGGACATGATGGTGAGAATATAAAACTCTGCTGTAGCACAGAAAAAGAAAAAGAACTGCTGTGCAGCACATCCTTGATAGGAGATGGCTCTGGTGTCCCAGAGGGAATTGGCCATGGCTTTGGGGAGGGTGGTGGAGATGCAGCCCAGGTCGAGCAGGGAGAGGTTGAGCAGGAAGAAGTACATGGGGGTGTGGAGGTGGTGGTCCCAGGCGATGGCGGTGATGATGAGGCCGTTGCCCAGGAGGGCAGCCAGGTAGATGCCCAGGAAGAGCCAGAAATGCAACAGTTGTAGCTCCCGCCTGTCTGCAAATGCCAGGAGGAGGAACTGGGTGATGGAGCTGCTGTTGGACATCTGCTGTACTTTAATCATAGACCTTTAATCACTGCTGCTCCCAGTGCATCCAACAGCAGAGCAGAGCTGAGGGAATTTTCATCCGGTTATCCCACCACACCTGAGGAGATATTTTTTTTTGGCAGTGACCTTTGGCATTTCTGCTGCTCTCCAAGTGAAACCCTGTGAGTGCTGAGAGACAAAGGGACTGTCCCTTAGTTCAGAGTAAGGACGGCTGGTCTGTCAATCAGTCCTGCTCTGAGATACCCTCAGCTGGCACCTCTTTGAGCTGGAGGATGGTCACCCCCAGATGTACCCCTGAGCAGAAACTGGGGACAGCTGAGAGAAAGGATTCAGATTTACCAGTGCAGCTCCCCCAGCCCCTTAGCCCATCTCATTGTCCCTGAAGAGTATCTCAGCTTTGCATTCCCACCCAGGGGTACCCAAATCCTCACACCACATCCCTCCACTTAGCAAAATAAAGGGACAAACAAGGACAGCAGGGGCACTAGGGAAATATGCCAAAATTCTGCTGCCAAGAGAGTTGGGACAGGGAGACAGACACTCGAGCTTTTCTCCTTGGTGCTGTGGCTGCTGAGAAGGAAATTCAGCACTAAGTCGCCATGATATGAAGGGCTGGAAAAATCTACTAGTTGGGAGAGGAGCCCAGGGAGTTGCTCCAGGGAAGGCAGCAGCCCTGCAGGGATGGCAGCGAGGTGCCCAAATCCCCTTTCCCATGGCTTGCAAGCAGCAGCTCCCTCTCCCTCCCTACAAATGTCTCTGCTGCTTGGAGCTGTCTCTGTCAGCAGCTACTTCTCTGTCTCCATGTGCCCTCCTTAGCAGTGC